ATGTTGTGCGTTTCTGTAGCGACACCGTGTTATCGTTTCGCGCTACTTTTATCACGTACGTACATGTAGACACTCGTACTAATTAACCGAGTCACACCTATTCCCGTTTTCGGCGCTCTCGGAAAAGCGTTCCGCGCTCCGTTACACTCGAAGTTTCCAGCGGGTGAAGTATACGGTGCTTTCCGAGGCCTCTGCTCGTAAGTTCCGTCGCCCGCGCCCAGAGGTTTCGTTACTTAAATACGCGGTATTTCTTTCCGAATCGTCCATAAACGTTATCCCCCGCAGTTAATTGTCGGAAGCGATGCGGGCGCCGTTTGTGGAATTTGGAACGGGCGTTACTTTTATCTTCAGCTATGCGATTCAGCCATCGGTAGGGAATTGGCGAGAAGTGAGATGGTCGCGAGAGAGAATATTCGGGAGAACTCACCCGTTGAAGGGGTAGCTGGCGAAGGCGGCGTCGTAGGGATGATACACGGATGGATAAGGCCATGCTGTTGCGGCTCCTGCCCCAAGGTTCTCCTTCAGATCGAGGCCAGCCGCCTGCAAGCCAAGCAATTATACCTGTTAATAATGAGTCAACGCCCCGTCAACGGCGTGAGCAATTCACGGCGCGCAGCTGAAAAGGACAAATTCCTTTGGCGGCCGATTAGTCGGGGCTCGTTTCCAACTGCGAACGAACACGTTCTCGACGAATTGCAAAACGAACGAAACACCGCGACGTTAGCTTCCGATTTAGAAATCGATATCGTTCACAGCCTCCTCTCTGATCTGCCTGTCCAGCTCCGGATTTTTTGAAAAATCACGCGTGTCTCGGTGATGGCCGATGGTTCTCCCCGAAAATCGAATTTTCTGCTCGATTTTTCATACGAGACAAACATTCGACGGAAATCCATCCACTTTTGCAAGACCGGTTGGTAATCGGAGCAACCAGCAAGCGCGATCGATCCCCAATTCATCGACGATAATGAGAAAAATAGCTGGCAAAGCAGCGATAATAATAATTAGAATCGATGTGTGTGCCGTTGTTGTTGTTTGTTTCTACAAACCCCGTGTATCGCCGACGCGTCGAACTTCATCATATACCAGCCGCGTTTCAACCTCCATCAATCGGTGGAATAATAGAACCACAGAATCTCTCATCCTCCTCGTCGCGTTTCTCCTCTACCGAACCGTTCCCCCGCTGTCCCTCTCCTCTTCCACTTCTTTCCACATGCGTTAGAGCCTCGCATTAATGACATTAATTATGCATATCGTGTTCGAACGGCGTAGTCATCGCTGAACCGGCGTAATTAGCCACTCGAAAACGAGGACGACTCGACCAAAGAAATTCACTCATCGAGGAGGGAGAGGGGGGCGGGGGAGAGAGAGGGCGTTTATTTGAGACTCAAATCGAAAACGTTGCCCGATCCCGTGTAATTTCAAGTGTTTGAACTGAACTCGGCAACGAACCAGATGCAGACTTCCGACGCTGCTCCCAACTACCCCATCGCTAATTTTCGCGCGTGAAAGTTCCCCCCCCCCCTTTTGG